TACATTGGATGACGGTGGACTAGTTAAGGGGGTTGGGTTTGGGGAAATGAAAGAACTGTTTACTGCAATAACTTTCTCTCAATAGAAGTTTTTTTGATTTAAATCAATGGATTCAAGAGTCATACTTTTCTGAGAGACCAGCTGGGGCAGGTCCTTACAGCAACATATCCCAGAGTGGCATATGGCCATATAATATATCTTTGTATCTAAAATATATTTTACTTGTGCCTATGTTAATATGGGCAAATGTTTGATTAAATTGGGAATAAATAGCAATGCAGACAAGGAACCTTTGGGAGAAATAGAACTTACAGGGAAAATATCAGTAGGAGATTTGGGTTAGCTCACATAGCAAAATAAAAATAAAAATCAGGAGTCTGATAGCATCTTTTCCAACTAACTAGTTTTATGAAAAGGCATAGGCTTTCATGAGTTGTAGCTTATGTCATCAGATGACAAAAAAGCTACACTGATTTCGGATTTAAACTGGGATGAGGTGAAATCTGATTATGCATATTACACATGACACAAATTATAGAATTTGTATACTTGGAGCAGGAGATAATGGAAAGCATTATAAGTATCAAAAATATAGGAGAGGATGGGCAAACTTTTGGGAATGTAAGCTACACTTTTCTTTGTAAATCTGATGCCATAACAGGTAGTTCTGGAAGCTACATAAACATGGGAGTCACTGCTTGCTTTTCCTTACAAGAGAATTTGAAGAAACATTTTAGAAGTTAGTGCTTTCACTTGCAAGGAGTACAACTCTTGACTATCCCAATCAGCAAGGCTTCTGGGAATTCTAAACAATCAACAAGAATTTGTGCTAGGGGCAGATGAGAATATGAAAGAAAGCCAATGGATAATTACATCACATTGTCTAACTGAAGTGAATACATTGGCCAGTCATTGGAAAAGGCCAATATGTGATTGGAATGGTCAACTGTAAAAGGAAATGAGACTTTCAAAAACATAATGGCTAGACACTATCAAAGCTGACACCACCCAGAACATCAAACAACTGAAAGAAACCATACAAGATTAGAAAATGTGGAAAGAGCTGGTCCACAGAATCACTGAGAATTGGACACTGGATTGAACAGAAGCATCATCATCATCTGGGTACAGAACTGACTGTTGTAGCAACTTGAAAGAAAAAGAAAAATATACATTCAATGTCTAAACTGGGATGCAGAAAGTCTTTTATGCATATTTTCTATATCAAACTAAAGGACAGAACTTGCTTTAAAAGAACTTTGTCATTCTGATTTAATTCACTGTCCAAATCTCTATTTGATCTCAAATACGTCCCTCCTTTCCTCACCAAACTTAACTTTCCAAGCTCCCTGCCTAGGAAGGTTGAGTCACCACAAAAATCTCTCCCCCCACCTCCCCACTCCTTTAAAGAAGATAAACTGTCAAGGCCTTTCCTGGTTCTATTTCCTGACTCATAGTTAGTGCATATAACAAACAAAAGAAAAAGCATTGCCTTATTTAGCTATAACTGTGTTTTGAATGTTAAACTGGCTAGCTACACAATCTAATAAAAACTAAAGAATATGATTCTGCATCATGTACAAACAAATAACATTGTTAAAAAAGTATTTGATGGGTGTGCGTTTATATAATGCCTTTGAAATAAATGCAACAAGTTTATAACATCTGATGACACTACCAGACTTTAAAACAAACAAGTTCCAATCTTCTTTCTATTAACATTAACTCTTTTTTTCTAGCAAATACTCCACTGCTTCTATTGCACTTCTAGTACCAATAGATTGAATGGCTATACACAATTTTGTAAGTATGGCAAAAGTATGTAAGTATGCCTCTGTGCTTCTTGGCATTGAGGGAAGTCACCCCCTCCCAGAAGAATGAAATATTTGGAAAAATATTAAAAACGCAGAATATTATAGTTCCCTAAAGGAGAAACATCTTTCTAAAGACAGAATCTCAGAGACTTAGCTCTCTGTCCCAAGTAGAAACTAAGGGGCCAACTTTTAGAAATGCAGATTTGGTAATCCAATCAAGACAGGATATTCTGAGCAAAGGTAGGATTAGCCCTCAACCATAATAGGAGTTGCCCAACAAACCCTTTCATTGCATCAGTACCTACAAAGTTACCTATGACCCAGTGGTGGGATTCAATTTTTTTACTACCGGTTCTGTGGGCGTGGCTTGGTGGGTGCTGTAGGAGAAGGATACTGTAAAATCTCCATTCCCTCGCCACTCCAGGGGAAGGTTACTGCAAAATCCCCATTTCCTCCTGATCATCTGGGACTCGGGAGGCAGAGAAGAGATGGGGACGGGGCCAGTCAGAGGTGGTATTTACCGGTTCTCCGAACTACTCAAAATTTCCACTACTGGTTCTCCAGAACTGGTCAGAACCTGCTGAACACCATCTCTGCTATGACCCCTACAACAACCAATAGAATACATATTCTTGCACAGGAACAGGAAATTCAAGGTCATGACCCAAGAGGAGGTATAAATAACCTTCATTTATTCTCAACTCCATGTAGTCAGCTGCCCAGGACCTCAAAACCCATGTGGACCTGTTCATCAATAAACCATTTTCCCAATCAGCCTCCATGTTTCCATTCTCTTTCTCCCCACTTGGAACTGAACCAGATGGATATTTCTTTCAACACCATCACACATAGCATTAGCCCATAAACCAGACTTTACAACTACAACATCATTATGGTTGAACATATGTAGAAATCCTGTAACCACTGGGTTTACTGAATGATTAATCTGACCTTTTAAGATGCATTGCATGATGGACATTAACAGTGTAATATTAAATTCCTTGTTATTTCAGTGGTCAGTTTGGGCACCAGATATAGTGACTGTAGAACTCACAATCCTGTTTTCTCTGATTTCTGCCCTCAGGGAGCTGGGTGAAAAAACAAATATTTTGGCTTTCTAGGCTGAGGTAGAAAACAGAAACAGAAAATGAGGGTTTCCCCTTCAATTGTTAATCAGCCCATTGTGGCAAAACTCAATTCAAAAAATTCAAAGTGCCCAAGGAAAGAGAAATTCTGTCTATCTGTTGTCCAAGACCAAAGTCACAAATTTAAAATACAGTAGAAAAATAATTCTTACATATATGAGGAAGAAACCTTATAAGGAATTAATTGGCTGTACCAAAAGATTTCTGTAAGGTAAAATTTTGCTATTGCCTTGGAAATACCTCAGTCTCTTCATGAGTAGGGTCTATCTGGCTCAAGCAGTATTGCCAATGAGCGTATAGTGGGCATTTTAGAAGGATGTGTGGAATAGACACAATTTCCATATTGAGTATGTATGCAAATACATACCCAATCTTTATAGGGAAGTCTGGCATATTGACCAGCTGTCACTTGATAGGAAGACCTATACAGATTAGGCAGAAGAGGCTTCTATTTGGGACACACAAAATCATCGATGATATTGAGGCGTGTCGAACGGGAGAGAACAATTCGTTTGTAACTGAAATGGGGAAAGTCCGAACAGCCAGCCTGGCCAGTCAAGCGGACGCAGCAAGAGACTTTAGCGGCGTTGGATAGGCAGGGTGGCTTTCTTCATCTCCTCCTCTTTCATTGTCCGCGTAGCGGAGCCAAATTGGGCGTTGTTCCTTCGGTCCCGCCCTTCACTTATCCACCTCCTCATCCAACCAGCTGTGGGTTTTGTGGGGAGAGTTATGGGCAAGGTGCGTGCTTGTACATACACAGGACGCATTGAATTGTTGTTTTTTTCCCAAGGGCGGTGTAATCAGAAGAAAAGTGTACCTTTGTGACTGAGCAAATAAAGAAGCCGATTACCTTCTCCAGGTTTTTATGACCCAAGCCCTAATTACAGAGAATAATAAAGAGCCTCCGTTCTTGACTCAAAGTTGCGCTTTCTCCGTCGTTTTCTAAGGAACCTTAAGCAGAGTCCCTCCCCTTCCGGAGTACAGACGGTCAGAGGCTGGCTTTTGCACCTTTGATTTCGGGACCTGAGCATATGCAATTAAAAATAGATCTGTTTTTTCGAGAGAGGAGCGGAAGGAAAACTTGGCGAAGCGCTACAACAGATCCACTGCATCCATCTTCCAGACTCAAATTTCTTTCAAGGCTCAAGCCAAAGCCCTTTACCCGCCGAATCTGGCTTGCAAAGAGCTTCGCGAAAAGGCGCCTCTGAGACGACGAGCTCACACAAATGACGAGCCCAGGAATCTTGAGGAGAGGGAATTAAAGGGGTTAAAACTCGCTAAAAGGAAACATTTCACACTTCAAAGTATTTCCAAGCTGCCATTGCTGATTGCCCCAAACATTGGGTACGAGGGAATCGGCTAGCGCATGCTTGCCTAAGCAAGCCCAGAGGCCATGTCGGCAGTCGCAGTATGAAATATCTTGGCAACGTTTTTTCCTGCCCTGTTCTTAAGGCTCCACCTCCTCTCAACCCATGAGTATGATGGGCTTGAGTCATTCTAAAGTGTTTTGAGGTTAAAGTAGCGTTTCCTTGATAAATGTTTGCTGTATTTTAAATATATTTACCCATGTAGTGTGGCTGTATTACTATTATCCTTCTCATTTTTTCTTACTACCTTCTATTAGTATATTATGATTTATCACTTGTTTGCGTCTTATGAATTACAACTGTGATTTATGATCAATGACTTACCACTTGGTTGTTTGTATGTACACGGAGAGCTTATGCATCGGAGACAAATATCTTGTGTGTCCAATCGCACTTGGCCAATAAAGAATATTCTATTCTAAAGCCAGTGAAAACCCCAAATTACTTTGCTAGTCATTGCGACCGAGGTCAAATCAGGTGGTTAGCAGCGGGGAGGGTCAGTCAGGGATGTGTATTGGTTGTTTCAGAATGAGATGAAGCTGCCTCCTCTATTTGGCTATTCTATTGTTTCCCTAGGGAGCTGCAAGCCGTAAGCCATGCCACTGCCTAACTGCTGGCGTGCTTAGCTGGGAATACAGAAAGAGCTTTAATACGTTGTATAGATTTTGCCGCGTGGTGCGTAGTTTAAATAGCAAACCAATGGAACGATGTGCCACCTCCGCCCCTGGCCTGCACGAACAAAGCATGCAGGCATCTGGAAATCAGCATGTATTGACTTTGACTACCTCAGAAAAAGAAAAGAAACAGCAGAGGGACCTTAAGGAAAAGTGCTGCCTGTGACTCAGCTCCTTTTGTGACTCAGATTTAAAAAAAAACTAGCATGGGTTGTGACAAAATGGGGAGTAGGAGGTTGAAGACAGGAAACCGCCGAAAGATCACAATCCTGCAGTAAGTCCCAACCTACTGCTACTGTACTGTAATTGGTGGGTTTTTTGCTTACGGGCTGATCACGTGGAAAAGGGGGAGAACAAAGCCTGCATGTCATTTTTTCTTCTTTTTTTGCAGTTTAACTCTGTAATAGGGAAAGATCCCGATATAGCATGGCGCCTACTGCCATCTGTTGAGCATGGTGTAGAATGGCGTTGACAAGGCTATTGATGTTTTTAAAAGTAATCTGACCATTATGCTGAAATTGAAGATAAATACAGAATACTTCGAGTCGAAGTTGGCAGAAAAAAATCGTATGAAAAAGGGTCTTGAACTCATCTTTATTAGAGAGAGGACATTTCCTTTGTGAATGACTGCAAGGATTATTATGCCTCTTACGGACCTCCCGAAGAAATATTTTGCTATTCAGCCCTAGGAAGAACAGGCAAGTCAGTCTGGAGTTCTTAATAAAGGTTGTCCTTCGGCATACACTTAAAGGAAGCCAAGACTGGTATTTATAAAGAAAAAAGCAAGCTGAGTCAATGTACTCATGTTCTCAGAATATTTCCCAGCACCAAGTACAGCATGAATTGTGCAGAAATCTCTCAGAGGAAAAACTCAATCAAGAACCACATTATTGATTATAATGGATTCTGCAATTGTCTTCCAGTCTGCAGAGAAAAAACACACATTTTCTGCAAGACTCCCTGGAGATGAGAAGTGGAAATATAGGCTATACGCTTGAAAATGGATTAAAGTTTATGGAAAATATTATTGAAATTAGAGGGATGAAGCCCCAAATAAGATTGAGAACCAAATAATACTGAAATTACAATAGCAAAACAATGAAGACGGCATATGCAAAATTTAAGGTAATCAGAGAATTCAGTAAAGACTGTTCTTTAGAGCTTGGTCCACTATAAATGAACTATGAGTTAAATTGTATTATTTAGAACAGATTCTTGAATTTGTGTTATGAAGGTGATAATACTATTTGCCATTTTATGAGGAATTTTTTGCTTCAAGGTTTGAGAGTTATGTGTTACTATTGGTGTTAAATCATTTTTTTTTAAAGCCTTTATCAAAATTTTAAATTATCTTTTAAAAACATATTGGCACACCTTGATTATTACTATTTTGAGTGCTAAAATAATTAAGCATATTTATATATAACTCAGTGGTTCCAGGAGTCACACAACATTATTACAACCACAATTGAGCCCAACATTTTTGTTGCAAAGCAAGATAATAGTTGAGTTGCACCTCATTTGATGGCCTTTTTGCCATTGTTATTAACAAATCACTGCAATTGTTAAGTGAATCTGTTCTCCCCCCCCTCCCTTGACTTTGCTTTTTGGAAGCCAACTGGGAAGGTTACAAATAGTAATCACATGATTCTGGGGCAATGCTAATTAATAAGAGCCGGAATTTTGATGAAGGGGCTAGGCGATGCTGCAACAATTGTAAGTCTAAGAAACAGTGATACCTCACTTTTTTGAGCGCTGTTGTAACTTTAGATGATTGTAAGTCAAAGACTACCTGTATTTGAACAGGTTGATACACAATATAGGTAATGCCTTTCGGCAATAAGCTTCCCCCAATATGTTTACTTTCTATGTGGAAAGTACATTTCAGTGAAATGAAATCCTAGATGTTGGGTTCTTAAACTATAAGACTCATTTAATAATTTCAAATTGCACAAGTGCTGAAAATATTGTTTTTCCTCTTAAGTTTGGAGTGCTTTGACCTTAAATCTCCATACTTCTATTTAAAAACTGAGTTTTACCCTATTTGGTAAATTCTTCCTACTCATTCTGAATAATTATGCTGAAATATCACTGCTTGGTTGCTGTTGAAATCCAAGCTTGATGAATAATAAATTGCCATTGAGGTAATATTAAAATTATTCTCAGGACAGTATGTGTTATTATTCTCCTATCAATTCAGTGGGACGCATTCCAAGTAATGCGTTACCAAGTAATGCGTTACCAAGCTGGAGAAACAAATGTATTAAATATACAGTCTGAATAACACAATGTTGCCAACATGATAAGAACCCTGGACAAAGCAGCCATGACATTATTGTACACAATAATGACAATAGAAACAAACTATGTTCCACTATTGGGTGTCACTCTTCCTTTATATAAAAAAATGTATTTGTCTCAGTGGAAAACAATGGACAACTCTGAAAATTTTCCATTTCAAACTAGCACAGGGGGGGAAATATTGGTTTTTGGAACACCTGATGTCACAGGTGTATAAAAAACTTTCTAGGCAAGACAGTATTTGTGTTTCTTTGCTTTATCTTCCTTTTTTCACTAATTTATTTTCAAAATTAGATTGTATTCTCCACATCTCTTAGTAGAAAGAAGCCTCTAAAGCAATACTGCAGGGGAAATTATTCTTGTAGAAGTTAGAGCTGGGGATGTAAATACCTTATAATTCTGCTTTATTTACTGATAGGCTAGTAGAACATTTTAGGGATAATTACCTTTTTTCCCAGAAAATATGACCTACCCCAAAAACAAGCCCTAGCTTGATTTTCATGCCTGTGCCTAAAATCAACCCTACCCCCAAAATAAGGCCTAGTTAAGGCCCACCAACTGCCTGGTTGTATAAAGTGGGATGAGGCGCAGGATTAAAAATCAAGCTAGGGTGGGGGTAGGGCAGTGATCATGCTTCAGTTCCTGGCCGGCAGGGCACGTCTCATTCAACCGGTTTCCCTCTTTCCCCGTCCTTCCTTCAGACAAAAATTGTGCTTTTCATTTGTCCATTACAGTGCAGTGTCTGATTTATTTTGACAGTGGTGTGGCTTGGAGAATGATTAATCCCTGTTTGTCGTGTGGTGGACAAGGTGGAAGACAATCCCTCCCACCAGACCAGACCAGCCTGACAGGGGTAGAGTGGGAAACCAAGGTTTGGCGAAAGCAGCTGAAGGGCTTGCATATTTTCAGCTGCTTTTGGCGTCACTCTGTTTCTGACCTACCCCCACTAGGCTGGTCTGGTTTGGGGGTGGGGATTGCCTTCCACCTTCTCCACCCCACCAATGTGGATTGACCATCTCTCAAGCCCCACCGCTGTCAAAGTAAATCCTGTGGTCTGTGTTGCAATGGACAGATGAAAAGCACAGCTTTTGTCTGAAGGAGGAAGAGCAGGAAGAAGAAAGAGGGAAAGCAGTTGAGTGACCAGGAACTGAAGCACTTTCACTGCTGCCACAGTAAGAGAGAGAGCAAGAGAATGATCCAGTCCAACCTCTGTGTGTGTGTGTTTGTGTGTGTTTGAGAGACAGTGATCCGATCCAACCTCAAGACAGTTATACCAGGACTGGCAGTGGTGTTCTCTGTTTCTCTCACTCTTTCTATCTCTCACACAGACAGGTTTGATCAGATTATTCTCTCGCTCTCTCATCCCACCTTATGACAGTGGCACCAGCTATGCTCTACACAGTGGTCTGCAGCTGAATCGAGGTGCGCAGGCCGATGCCCTTTGTATGCCTGCATCCTTCTACCTGCTGCTATACTTGGCCTCTGCACAATTGTTGCCTTCTGTGTGCATGGGGCAGAGGTATCTGGCCAGGCCGGGCCTTGTGATAAAAAAATAAGACCACCCCAAAAATAAGGCCAAAATAAGGCTTATTTGGGGGCTCAAAGAAAATGAGACCAGGTTTTATTTTCAGGTAAACACAGTATGTACCTTCAGCAGACACCATCGGTACTAGTCTTACAAAGGGACTCAGAGAGAACCATTGAATTCTAAGCATATTGTAGCTTCATCCACATCACTACTCTCACACTCCTTCATCTGCCTTTTGCTGGAGAAAGTTGCAATGTTCCAAAATTTAATGGATATTTTCTTAATAACTAAAGAGAAAGTCCTAATGGTCAGGATCTAGAAAGTTCACTTCTGCCTCTCCACTGTATTTTTTTAATTTGGGGGAGGGAAACTTTGTGCCTGCCACAACAACAACAAAAAGCATTACTAAGTTATGTAGGAGGAGCCCTGTGGCACAGTGCTTAAAGTGCAGTATTGCAGGCTAACTACCCACAATCTGAAGCTACTATAGATCCTGATGGGGCTTGAGTTTGACTCAATTTCCCATCTACCCAAGGTTGGTAAAGTGAGGACCCAGATTGTTGGGGGGGGGGGGAATATGCTGACATTGTAAATAACTCAGAGAGTGCTCTAAAAGCACTATAGAGCTGTGTCAGTGGTGAGTTGCAAATCCCATTCCAACTGGCACGGTGATGCTACAGCTGCTCTGTGATGCTACAGCTGCTCCACAGAGTGCAGGCGCTATACGCGCAATGCGCTTGTGCGGAAACACAGAAGCCTTTAAACTCCAGTAAGGAGCTCAGGCGGGCGGGTGGGCCCTCCAGAGCACCATACTGGAATGGTATCCAGTGCTCTGGGCTGGCTCTGGTAGGCCCATACTGGGGCGTACTGCCTGCAACCAACCACTGAGCAATGTATATGTCCAAGTGCTATTGCTAAGTGCTATGTAACATATCAATAGCTTAGTCATGCAGCACAGGGACAAATCTTCTATGGGAGCTAGTATAAGCAAGAATCAGAATACCATTGTTCTTGGCCCTGGAGAGGCTGATTCTCCAGATAGCAGCTGGAATGTTCTGTAAGGGGGGGACATTTTATCTTACTGCCAGAAATTTAAGGACCAAACTACATCAGGGATGTTGTTTTAAAATTGTATCAGCAGGTGGCAGCACCACCTGATCTTGGGTGATCTCAAAAACTCAATACAGAATACAAGTAGTCCTCAAGGAGCCTGCCCATTAAGTTCATAAGTAAAAAAAAATCATTAAATGAATGAGACCCAATTTTACAAATTTTTAAAATCAAATTCATTAATTGAATCAAATGTCTCGTGAAATGAATGAAGATATGACTTACTTCCAGCCCACCACCAATCAGTTGTTTCCAGTACAGCCGAAGGGGGAACTAATTTAGATTTAAAACCCCTTTATTAAAAAAACACCGTCCTGATCAGCACAAGCCTCTCCAGGCAAAATCCAAAAATTCATATAAATAGCTTGCAAATTTGAAAATCAGCAGTTTAGAGAAAAGATACAGCACACAACATTATAGAATGCTTTGTGTAGATGTTGGCTAGCATTTCTACAAGCAGTTTTAAAGTAAATGCAGACAAACTTTATTTTTGCAAAGAACTGTACCTACAAACACAATACTGTAGTTTGCAAAGTGTAGTACAGTACTTAAAAAGAAGCAGAGCAGTTCCCAAAGTGCTTACAAACTATACTATACTGTAGAGTAACAAAAAAAATTTTTAAAAAAATATGGGAGCAATTCTAGCACACTACCAGTAGTTCTCAACCCAGGCAGCAGCAGATCCTACACGCAGCACCAAACAAACAAACAAATTAAAACTTTTGGAACCAGGCTGGCTGCAAAGATCATGGGATCTTGTTTGGCTATGTAACCAGGGGTGTGGGGGGGAACCCTGCTGGCTTCCAGAAATTTCCTCATAAGCCCAAATAGCCTAGGTAAGACACAGAGTTAAAAATGGTAGCTGCTGCAGCAGTGACTGAATCTAGGTCACAGACGCCTATTTTTGATCGCAGTTCTGGATTTCTAACATAAGTATCCTTTCTGAATTCATTCGTTCTGGTGAAAATTCGCTGAAGGAACCCTCATATCCAGGGGAATTACCTGTAAAGAATAGCAGAATTCAAAGGGACCTTGGAGATCTTCTAGTCTTCTCTTTTGCTCATGCAGGATACCATATACCATTCCAGACAAATGACTGTCCAATCTTTTCTTGAAAACCTCCAGTGATGGAGCACCCATGACGTCTGAAGGCAAGCCGTTCCACTGATTAATTGTTCTCACTGACAGGAAAATTCTCTTAATTCTAGATTGGACCTCTCTTTGTTCAGCTTCCACTTGGTACTTCTTGTCCTGGCCTCAGATACTTTAGAGAATAGGTTGACCTCCTCCTCATTGTGAAGGAAGACTGGATATTGTGAAGGAAGACAGGAAGACTGCTGTTATATTACTTCTGGTCCTTTTTTTGTTGAACTATATAGTTCCCACAACTGTTCATCGTACAGTCCCCTAATTATGTTTGTTGCTCTTCTCTGAACTCTTTTTAGAGTTTCAACATCTTTTTGTGTAGTGGTGACTAAAAGTGGATGCAGTATTCCAAGTGTGGTCCTACCAATGCAGTATAAAGCAGTACTAAAATTTCATCTTCATATTGTGTCTCTGTTGATGCAGCCTAGGATTGCATTGGCTGTTTTGGCAATTGGAGCACACTTCTGGCTCATATTTAAGTGGTTGTCTACTAGGAAGCTTAGATCCTGTTCACAGTTACTGCTGTTGAGCCAGGTGACACCTACTCATGGGGGGGGGGGAGTCCAGATGATGTCATATTACTATTGTAATCATCTTATTCTCCCTTGGTTTCTTTATTTTATCCAGGAACCAGAAGAAAAACATATCCAATCCATTAAAAGGGGGGGGGGAGCAAGATAATAAATCAAGTCAAGGTCTACCCAAAATCTCATTTCCAATATCTCATACACACCAGAGATGGGTTCCTACCAGTTCGCACCAGTTCGGTAGAACCGGTTCGTCAAATCTACCAAACCGGTTAGAAGA